AGTAGAGATCTATGTTTATATTTTGTTTCTTTTTTTTTTTAACACGAAACAAACGAAATAAAAACCAGAAACGTGTATGAGAGTTTTTATAGTGATGATGTGAAACTATAAGCAAACTTTGAAAAGTAGAATAGTTTTAAAAGAGAGAAACAGGAAAAAAAAACTCAGCGATATGTTACTGCTACTTCAATTAAATGTAAATAAAATCACGTAACTTACATTTTTATATAATATCGACTATTTTAAAATAAGATATGTATATTTATATGTACATTATTCATTCAATTGTTCTTTTGGAGCTGCTTGTTAAAAAAAATCTTCGTGAAGTCAAAGCAAAGCAAATCATGATGACATTGTGACATTATTCGATATCTTTTTTAGCATTAAAAGAAAATGAATAGGATTTTATAGTAAACTATACCAAATTTAATATACGCCTTTATATTGTTGTTGATATCGATTTAAAGTTACAGAAAACATCTAAATGAAGACGTAAAAACTTATCTTGATGTATTTGAACCAATATGTATGCATAAATTTGAATTTTCCTGGACAATAAGAAATTTTAATTTAGTATGAATATTCCAGAAAATATACATTTCGAAGCCTGCAAGTTTGGGAACCTTCAAACAGGCACTTTTGCCCTTTAGTGTACAACATTTGAATTTCTTGATGATTTATTTCTCGATGTTGTTTTACAAAATTGATCTTCACGACAGTTGACGTGCGCTTTAATGATGAAAACTTTATGATAATAAATATGTAAGGTAAACAAGGTAGCTACTTTTTTAAACGGTTTCAACCTTTTAAATGGAATGCGTACAAACTTAATTATTATAAGTGTCTTTAATATTACATTATAAATGTTATAATAATATAAGAAACATATAGTTGAATGTAACTTAAATATGTTGATCATAAATAATGAAAAAGTGTACAAGGACTTGGTTAAAATTGCCACACTTAATTAGATATTGAAAGAATTAAAAAATCCTTGGAAGTCTAGCTTCAACAGTAAGCTCCTACCGTGTTATTATTTTACATAGAGCAGAAAATAATAACTTTCTTATCCGACATAAAATATTTTTAATACACGATTCAGCAAAGAAACTCGGCGAAAAAACGTTACAACGATAGACTTTCCTTCAAACTCCGTTTAAAGGCTCCATCACAGGCAGATAAATAATTTTCGTAAGAAAGTCTAGATCTAAATTACTCTTATGAAATTTTACGATCTATAACAAGAACTACTTTATCATATCATTAAAAATATTAACTGTCTGGCAATATTAAATTAAGCATACTACTCGTTTACAAAAACCTATTTATTCTAAAAAGTTATAGAAACAAATACACTGAATGTCTATTTGAAATTCTTTCATTCCACAAAAAGTGATATTTTTAATGAAAGACAAAATATTCTTCTACGCTACGGCATATGCATTATTACAGAAGTGTTGTTTTTTATTTACTGGGATGTAACAAATAATTTCCTAGGACTGGGAAATGTATACTCTTGAGAATAAGAAAGATTTTGGTGAATAAACTTTTAAATAAAATTAGGGTTTCTTGATATACAAAATCACTTATTGCATTACAATGAACCTACCTACGTTTTCATTACTTTACAGCCGTGATCACTGGCAGATGAAATGATATTTTACATCTCCTCAAAACTCAAAAACATTCACTTTTATTTAAAATGGTACTATACTGTCATACCACAACATGAAATGCTCCCCTCCAATAGATTTGAAAACATAGCAATAATCTATAAAAGAAGCATTATAGCAACAACAGTCACGTAAGTGATTACTTACATTATTTCAATTAATTAAATTCTAATGTTATATTCTAAACAAACTAAAAATATAAACTAAGGAATATTTTAATAAAATTTATTAATCTAAAGAGGTTCTATGGCAAGTTAACAAACTAAAGGAGACAGAAAATATGATAAATGGTTTAGAAGACCGCGTTTGCATAACCACAGAGGTGACAGCATTCATAGTAGTAGTTCAAGATGCATATAGGCCACTAAAGGATGTAGGTTTGTATGAGGAAATGTGTACGCTGGTTCACACCCAACGGACTTCAATTAAAATTGACTTAGGGTTGAATACTTGTCACGACATAACTCAGACTGCAAAGGAGCAAAATTAATAACAAAATTTTATTGTATTAATTTAGTAATATATAATTTTTCTATATTATTTTATATTATGGGCGGTGTATAGTGTAGTGGGCTAGTAGAACAAGAACCACACACAAGCTGGTTCACAGGCGGGTTGAATGTTTACATTTTAACAAACCGTGAAATATTTGTCACTTTGTGAATGTCAAACATTTCACCTTGTCTATATTGTAAAATCATTTTAAAACCACATTATGTTAACCAATTAGAAAAGTGAAAAAATTGTCAATGCAATCTAAATATATAAAAGAGATTTCCAACTATATATTGCGGGATTGCGGGGGGTAAACAATGAAAAATACGCTTTCGCGCCTAAACCACTGAACTGATTTTAATGAAATTTGGTACAGAGTTGGAGTTGACCTTGAGAAAGAACATGGGATAGTTTTTATTCCAGACTTTTGAGAGGTTCTTTTGGAAACGCGACATAACCGGACTCCACGGGAGCGAAGCTGCGGGGGGAAAGATAGTTATATGTATAAATGCATAATATAAAATAAGTCGTATAACGTCGTTACTTACGAAGTAACCTACGCAATTCTTTTTCATTTTAATATTTGTTCTCAACTGTGTTCAAGAATATCTATCTCATTAAAAATTAACGCGTTCGTATTGTATTATTAAAGTTTTTTTTTCATATACCTACATATACCTTACTCTTAAAAATGGTAACATATTTCAATCATGCTATTTCTATCTGCCTGGGCTTGTGGAAGTCACAGGTATATATAAAAACAAGTTATATATCTGGTAATCTATCTCTTAATTTTAAAAATATGGGATATATTTAAAAAAATCCTAATCACAGTTATATTACCATCAGAATACAAACATGTAAAGCGAAATCTTTATATCTTTTTTTCAGAAAATTACGTCATCTTTACGACTTTAACGGACTCAAAGTTTATATGGAGAGACGCCAGTGACCATAAGCAACATATTTTTTTATAAAAAAATTATTTAAAATACATGGCATTATTTAAAATAAACAGTATAATACTACACTGACTTTTCGCAACTCACATTATACGTCATTCCGGGAAGATTTCTCAAAGTGGGTATTGTTATTTGTCGAACAAAATGAATTTTTTATTCTATTATGAAACTGGAAATAATAAATTAATTATGGTCGAGTATCTATAATTTGGGTATATATTTTTATTAAATGATTTTGGGTTTTATTATAACCCTCTTGAATGAATTACGGCACATTCTGGAGACCAGTTAAACGCTCAATAAGGTCAATCTCTCAAAGATCAGATCATAGGATGTACATATTATAAAGTACATCATCCACAAACCTATTAAATCAAATGTTACGTGAGGATCCATTGCAATTCAATAAACTTTTGGTTTCTGGTCAAAACACTTGTTGACAATTCAAAGGTTGTAGTCATTGAGTGTGGAACGAACACAAGTCTACCCAGATAGATATCCCTGTACCAAACCCCTTGCAAAACTATAGGTACACATTTAGAGGATTTCTATTATGACCACAGTTTCTTTTAGACCTAAGCCGCTAAAGCTCAATTAATGTTCCATCACAGATTAAAAAATTTAATGAGTACTTTAATCATTTTTGAAACTGTCCCAGTCTCAGGGTCTTTCCAAGTAAGGAAAGTAAAAAATGTACGTAAGAGTTTACAGTATCTTCTTCTTCCTAAAAATTTCCCACCTTCAGACCCTGCTGCCTAAGAGTTTATAGTATGTTGTAAGCTAACCTACAACCTGAGACACAGTATTTCTACAACAGGTTGGGTTGTTTGATAATTGACCATAATCCAAATATATATGAGGTCATCTAACATACATACATCCAACAGTCGCAAATGGCCATAAGGGTGCAACTGAAACCAAGTGGGGAGAGAGCCAACTACCGAGCAATCTCAGATATGAACTACCTCTACGTATGCCACAAAAAGTTGCACATTGACAAACTTAGTACATACATGTTAGGATGGTTAGATTACTTTGACACTTCAATTAAATAAACAAGTTCGGAAACATTCCTAACCTATTTACAAATTGTATTGACAATTTTTGTATTCATTTTAAACTGTAACTGAGTGGATTAAATCTTTATATACTCATTCATAACCATATATATGATTGTATAATTTTCCTTAAAGACATGGTTTATTATCAAAACATAAAATACAACATTATGAATATGGTCCTCGATACATAAAATACACAATTTAATTGAACTAATTATAACCGAACATAACCTAATCTTGTGAATAATAGACATAAAGTATTCTTAAACCTATTGTTTGTCAACTTATGAATACTTTTTCTTTAATTTTCATAAAACTTTAAAATGACTAAGAACGGTTTACTTTGAATATTAATTTATGTTACAAGTAGCTTTAGTGTTGCATTGCAAATAAAAGTTAAGAAAAAAGGGCTTGTCAATAATTTTTTAGAAGATAATGAAATAAAATAAATTACCAATACCTCATTACAACAATTCAAAAGATGAGAGAATAAGCATTACACTAATAATAATTATGACCTAAATATTTATATAGCGGTAACATAAGAAAGAATGTTATGAACAATGTTTATATTGTCAATATAAGTATAGTTTTGTTCACAGAAAATATGGTCTGGATTTAATGCCAAATATTTTTGAGACTGATCGGATTTATGAAAAATAATAATAGTAAAAAGAACAATACTGTTTTAATAGAGGGTCCTTAATTTATAGATACAACACTCTCTGAATGTTTTAGGAGTAATATATTTAAAAAAATAACATGCAATTTAAACAGCTAAGACCCTCAAAAGAACATTATAAACTTACCGAATTGTTAAAGCTCAGTTTTTGAGTCTTGAGAACATCACTCTCCGATGCCATCCTGTTAAACATTTGCTTCCTCTCTTTAACAGATATTTTTTGTTCATTGTCAATTAACATACTTTCACTTCTAGAAGATGATAATGTTAAGGTGGACTTCTCACTTAATTCTGACAGGTCTTGACTTGGTATTGATGAACGAGACCCTAAATTTAAGCTAACAACACTTGATCTTTTCTCTGCTAAAATTTTATCAGAGGATTTTTTTCGTGGATGAATTTTGGGTGGAGTTTCCTCCACAGTGGTCAAAGACTCTTTGCTTTCACTAACTGGAATTTCTATGGGTATTTCTGATGGTTGGGTTGGTGTTGCAGCTGCTGATGAGTCTTGTATAATATTTGCTAAGATATTGAAATCTTGATTTAATTGTAATGGTGGTGGATGTTTATATGTTGACTGAGGAACAGATTCTGTTTCCATGTTAGATACATTTGGTACCACAGGCAATTCAGCACTTTTAGATGCCACAGCCTCTTCTGTTTGTTTGACGAGAGGATTGTTTAAATACTTCTTTTTTAAAATTAACCACTTCTCATTGTTTTGGTTTTTTATTATGGCTAAAGCATTAACATGCTTCTTAAAAGTATTTCGGGCTTCATCTGAAATATTCAATAAATTTATAGTCATATTCTAATGACCGTAATGATCCTAATATTTTTCATCATAAAATTCGATAACCTAGTAATGTTTTGAAGTTTCAACTTACCTCTCATGTCCGGATTCATTAAAAACACTTTGAAATGTTTCACTAACTCATGGTTTGTAACTTTTCCATTATTTGCTAGCATAAACTTAAGTATTTCGTCAAAACTTAATTCCGCTGGTTGGGACATTTTTCTAATTTTCATGAATCATAGAAAACAAATAAAAACTTTCTGTAAAATCGTTAACGTTTACCTACGTCAAAAGTCAAAACATCGTTTCGGCGTTTGGTTTTTTAACTGTCACTGACACAAAGTTATGTGTCTTATAAACAATTAAAAATTTATTATAGTCAAGATATGAAGAAATATACTGTTTCCGTTTATTTCACTTAATAATTTATGAATATTCATGTATTACAGTACGGTTGATATTTAATAGTTATGAATTACTTTAAAGTTTCTAATAATCAGTTGGTCATGCTGAAACGAAACGTTATTTAATAAATGTCTAGAGAATAATGTAAAAACACATTTTTGGGTTTATTTCAATGTTTAGCGCAATAAGCATAAAATTTTAAGTGACTTAAATGTCCTCTTAAGATTAAAAAAAATCTTTTTTGAACATCTTACCAAGCTCGTGGTTAAAAATATTTTAATGATATACATTTTTGTAAACTTACTAAAAAGTATTTATTTAAAAACATCTAAAGAATCAGACCTCATCTATAAAAGGAAATATTAAATGAGCATAGTGACATTGTTAAATTTTTATCTATATCTTCTATATATATAAAAATGGATTGCTGTTTCTTAGTCTCGCTAAAACTCAAGAACAGCTGAACGGATTTATCTTATCTTAGTCTTGAAATGTTCGTGGAGGTTCAGGGAAGGTATAAAAGCTGAAAAAAATTGATTCATTACTGGGAAAACCATAAAAACAGCCCTTTTCTATTTCCCATACAAACGTTTTTTTTGACATTAGATTTGACAACTAACTAATATGTCAATCATTCTGTCGCACTTCAAAACCCGGAGATTTATGGCTTACAGGTAAACTCCAAAAATTTATAAATAAAAAAACGTAATAGATATTTCTTGATTATATGGCGATACGAAGTTCGCCGGGTCTTCTAGTAGTTTAATAATTAAAAATAAAAAAAAATCGTGATTTTTTAAAATACAATACTTACCTATAATTTGCATGGTAAAGTTACATGTTCCAGTTTTTTTTTTTAATTTTGAAGTACCTAATTGTAATATTTGTAGTGAAAACTAACAAAGATATTATCTAGTAAGGTTTAATGATTTAAATAGGTTTTAAACAATATTATCGATAAAAAAGCAATGTAAGAAGGAATTCTTTGTGAAAATATTTATTTTAATATCTAAGTTAAAACTTAAAAAAATGATACTTTTTGTTGATGAAAAGTCAAATTGGGACGTAAATTTTACATTTTTGAAAGAAATTAATTTATGTTATAAGTTTGTTTCACTTCACAACATTTAAAAAAGTACTTAGCTGTAGGTTTTAAGAGAATGGTGATCATAAAAAGGAAAAAAAAGGAAAACGTAGTATGTACCACTTTTGTATTAACATAAAGAAATATTCTTAATACCATTCGTTATTAGCCAAAAATTTACCTATTTAAAAAAGTTCAGAAACGTGTAACATTTTTGGTACTTATTCATTTATTTATGCTATAATAGACCGGCGTAGTTTTAAATTTACTAAGTTTTTACTTTATATATACTCACCTTCAATTAAATTTCATAAATCACCATACAAATGCTAATGCATGTCGAATATTAATAATTAATTAGGCAACTATGATCACATCGCATTATTATTTTCGGTCACACCGCGATTATGCGTCAAAGCACTTATTTTGAATAGCTAATGCTAATTCTGTTTACCGAACTTGAACAAAAACCATGACCACGACTGATCGTGATCAACCTTCGAAACACACAATACTATAAGTAATAACCATTTGAGTTGGTATTGGTAACGGAATTAATATAAAATGGATATAAATGCGAATCTATTGGGACATCTTAGGTTGTTATCGTTTGTATGTCATGATTAAATAAAAAAATAATGATCCGTTTATAAAAGTCATTAATTATTATGTTTTGACAATAGTTTTTACGGATGATATGTATCATTTTACATTTGTTTCAAAGGAAATGCTTCTTAGTAAAAACATTTTAAATTAAAGTAATAGATGAATTTACTATCATTTGAAAACGTTTCCAAGATTCTACAAAATGTACATGAATGATGGCTCCTGAAGAGATTAGTCAATAACGGCGTATACCTACCTACAACAGTTTTGTTAAACCACAACTTTTTTTATTGTTACTACGAACCTAACAAATGTTATTTTTTTTATTAGAATAAATCGTCACATTTATTAAAAGCGTCTGATTATTTTGACATGTTATGATTGCGATCAATGTAATACATACTCGTAATATACCTATGCGTACAAGGCAGGTAAGGCAGCATAAAATTAACAAGCATTGTTACATAAAATAGGTAGGTCTATTGCCGAGATTCAAGAATATAAATCTCGTATACACGTATATCTATTTGTTACAAAACTTTTCAGATTTCATGAATTTCAGTTTATTTAAATATCACCTACTTTACCCTACATACACATATGTTTTTTTATAATATCAGATACCTATATCTAGTAGATATAAGTTTTCGAGGCAGAAGTTACCTATAAAAGTGAATAATGTATAAAAAAAATTAAGAAATATGTAGATTGACCCTCAATTGGAAGTGAGTGCTAGTAAAACTTGATTTTACGCTTGTTACTGCTACCCTACCATTGATGTATATATATTACAAAATTCACACAACCCTTTGGTTTAAGATCCCAACTCTACTAAGCATGGGATTTTTACATAAGCAACAACAATAAACCCAAAATATATTTCAGTTATTTTAAACTCGACTTAAGAACGTATGTGTTATAGGATAACACACTTAAATATAGTCATCAGTCCTTAACAGATAATTTTTGGATCGTATTAATAAATTTCATGTTGTTATATTAATTAAAATTTAATTTAACGCCCAAAATCATAAACACTCGTAAATAATTAAAATTAATTAATTATTAAAAAGAATAAAGTATCTATAAATAATTAATTTCTGTCCATCAGCTAGTTGACAATTTCTTAATTTTCTCGTCAATTTCTCTAGATCCAAACAGATCTTCACAATGCTTGCATCACTTCATTTTCATCTCTTTTCCCAAGAGGACGAAAACTAAAGAAATACTAACCATGTATTTAATATACATACATATATGGACGAGTGTATGAAAATACTCAAAATTGAATTAGAACATGTTGTTATGTTTAAAGGTAACCACGAATTGAATTTTATAAACAAAGTTAGAAAGCTTCTATGGACAGTTTTTAAGTTAATTTCGTCCATTAGCCTCTCCATTAGTTTATTTGCAGTATTTCTGATTGTTTTAAAGTTAAAATTCTGACGCCGAATCACATCGCATCACTGATTATTGTTCTACAAGTATGTGTGAGGTAAGATTAACTTTTTTTAATTTTGGCAACTATATATTATTGTATATGTATATATTATAAATGTTTATCTAAATAATCAAAGTTAATAATTATTATAGTCCTGTTAGACCGTTTCAACAGTTAGAAATCTCCACGGATTTATGTACATACGTCTTAAAACAATATCCTATTTCCTATAAACTGTTATATCCCTTTAGGAGCCGTATTTAATCTCTATAGGGAATCACGAGAACGACACCACAATAATACCGACAATCTAATAGCAACAGATATTGTTATGTATTGCTATGTATCGTTATTGAGTTGTTAATGGAAGGAAAATGGTCAAGTCGTATCTGTAGGTGGCTGTTAGTGTTTTTGTATTGCATATTGAGTTCTAAGAGCATTGGATTATAAGACATATTAATATGCATATATTACAAGCATTATTATAATAAAAATTTAATGTTACATAGTATTTTTTTTTATTCCAACCATGGCTTATAACTCGTTTTATACTAATGATTTAGCTAATTCAGAGATCCTAATGAGTACCTATTACTTTATTTCAGCATTGTCTCCTCGAATTTAGCAAATTGGTTTCAAAATTTTGCTACCTAATCGCGTAAGGAAGTATCGTCCTATGATTTTTTATGATTGTTAACCTAAAAGTGATTAAATAACACAAGGTGATAAAAAACCCATGTATATTGTGTAGAATTTAAATTGAATTATTCTTGGCTGACAAACAGATAAAAAAATTATCTCATAGGGCTTGTAGCGTTGCAATGTGTATGGAATATGGATTCTAAAAAGCCTGTATATTTATCCTTAAAATATATACTAACATTATGAGATCTAAGATTTTCGCGAGTACTCACGTTTCGTCTGCCCGTGATCATGGTTGTTGTAAAGTAATCGAAACGTCGGGAGTACCTATGTAGTTTACAGTCAAAAATAAAAAAGATCGCGTATTAAATACGAAAATATTAGTTTAATTTATATATTAACATTTTTGTTTCAGTTGTTAATCTTGAGCAAGCGTGATGATTATTGCTCTAACCTTCTCCATTGTGAGAAACAGGCCTTTGCTCAGCAGTGGACTCTGATACGCAGATGACGTTTCAGTTGCTATGAGTAATTTTGTATTTTAAAGCCCTCTCTACAATTGAATTAACATTGCATTCTCTTACTGTTACTTTTGCAATTCTATTAATTTTTTTTTCTGATTTATTCTTATTAAATGCTAAAAGAATATATTTTTTAAGCTAATTAATAATTATTATCAATGAGTTTCAGTGATGATGAAAACTATTTTTTCCACGTCTTTTGTCTCTATTCAACGTTAGATGCAGAAAGAAAAACTGTAATATTTAGGACAAGGGATTGATAACAAACGAACTTAACTAGCAAGAATAATGCAGTAGAATCTAATGTAGTGAAGTAGTATCGGCGTAGAGTTCAAATTTAAATATTAATCAATATTCTGATATACAACATTCTGTGCTTCTATTCTTGTGACCCTAATGGTCAAACCATTAAAAATCATTTATGAAATCAAATGTTCAAGATATATGTACGTATCATTACTGTCTATCAATTTAATTGCTTAGCTGGTATCTTTTTAATAGCAGGGTTTGAGTTTGTAAAATAAGATGCTTTTAAAAACCTTATTTAAGTAAAATAAAGAAAAAAAAATGTGTTTTCATTTCAAATAAGAACTGCCTTGAGGTAAGTCCGTGAAAAACAAGATCCGAAAATGATTTTCCATTTCAGTATATATTTTATGTACATATATCATTCTTACTTATTTTTATACTAAGCAAATATTAAGAAGTGATATTAGGCGTGTTCAAAAATATCGAACGATATAATCTATAAATGTTGCCGGTCTACGAGGTTATTTGAATATTAATGGATATTGATTTACAGAAACAAGTGAGGTGCAGTAAATTGCTGTTTTAACATGCATTAAACTGTACATTTATTGTTTAAATTGTTTTCCGAAACATTGAAATTGTTCTGCAATACTCGTATTATCTTAAACTTGTGATGAATATAAGACAATAATATGTCTGATTTTCTTTCCCTTTTTGATAAAAATTTTTCTTCAGTTTTCAAATTTAAATATTTTTTTTTATTATGGCGAATGCTAGGTGTGCACGTAGCAGTAACATTATTAGGAAGTGTATCTTGTTAGAAAAGATTTTCTTGGGTTATGCAACTTTCGGGACGGATCCATGTCATACCTAAAAGGAACTTTCGATACCTAGTAGTTGCTGAGTTGCCGAGAAACAGGAGTTAGACATTTAACTTTTAATTGGCTGCTTGTAAGATGTTTGAAACTAAACGGATAAGGATTTAACTATGTCATGGTCTTATCCCCGATAATTATTACTACTTCTTTGCAAGAAATTATTATTTATTATTTTTGCTTTTCAGATTTTTAAAAGTTATTTTAAAATGTAGCTGTATAACTTACCCTGACCTTTGACCATGTCTAGAAGCAAATATTTTTCTCAGTGTGAATACTGTTTATACTATCCTATTAATGGCGACTGGTTAACAAGGGCTTCTACCAACCAAAGGATTACAGACTGCACGCGAGGAAAATTTAATACGAGTACGTTTATTGTTGTCAGAGTTTTTATTATGTTATTTTATTATAGTAATATGAAGTTTCAATAACTATAATTAGCATATTTTCATAAGAAAATTTGGATTTTCTTAAAGGGTCAAATACTTTTTTTTTACAAAAGTTATGTAAAGTACTGAAAAATCTTTGTGTATTTTGGTACCATTGAAAACAAAATATTTATATTTATAAAAAAAAATTCTAAGAAAATATTAAATTGAATGCACATTGTGTCGGTTCAACTTGCAGACAAGACGTATTAAATTTTAGGTTTCCATAGATCATGTTAGCTGGTCTACGGTGCTACGGCCATGTTTTGGCCACAGCCGGACGGCGGGAAATCGGCCGCCCATGGTAGGCGTGAGGCGCCAACTCGGGGGAGAGGGATGGCGCTATTACTCTGGCTGTGAAACGAGAGGGATGGGTGCGGACTGCGAGGCAGAGGGCGTGCGGCCTCAGAACCAACACACTCCTGTTCCGGTCGCGTTGACGGGCGGCCGGAGACCGCCACACTACAGCGCCGTGCGTTTTTTTGCGGCCACGTGATACTGCGCGCTCATTCGCCGAAAGTTTTTGGCGCGAATGTTGAATAGTGGTAGAATGTTTGTGAACTATTGAGCAGTGAACGCGTTGCTCATGAGTTATCAAATCATGGATGATTGGGAGCGACATGTCACTCCTCTCCTGCAGGACATGGGCTGCCCTAATGACGAGACTCAGGATGACTTCTTTAATCAGCAAGACGTAAGTCTCAAGTAGATTGAAAAGAAAAAAAATGAGTGACTTCAGCAAGGTTCTTCAATAACATGCTGACCTACTATATTCTTAAGATCAAATGTATATTTAAATAAGTCTCCTAAACTTTCTGTGGCGGTTCTATTTAAATATAGCTCAAGGTTAATTTATATTAGATTTTTTGAAGAGTTACTGTAAGTTTAGAATATCTTCCTTCACTAACTTCTCTTAGGATTATTCAATAGTAAAGTTAGCCAAAGTTAGAAAAAGTAGTACCCACTTCAGGTAATTTTATTTACTATATATTTAAAACTATACTCTCGAGAACATTAATTAAAAGCTACTTTATATGTATAGTACTCAAAGCATCGTTAAAAATCTTTACCAAAAAATTTACTTCCTGTTGTTTAATCGAGACTCAGAGAGACAAAGTTTTATCTCAACTTTGTGATCGTTGCTAAGTTGATTCAAAGAATGTTATTTAATAAAATTAAACTTTGAGAGACTATATTAATCTAATAAGAATTATATCAGTACATCAGTACGTATATACATATAAACAACACCATTATTATAATAGATGAAAGAAGAAACACAATTTGCAACAGGGACAATAAAAAATAGTACTACTATTGATTACAAATGACTTAACGATGCCAATGATTTTTTTTACATGATATAAATAAATTTACCTCGATAACTAGGCATAAGTACGTCCTTCTCTATACGTCAGCTGAAGATGGAAAGAGAAAACAAACACGCAATAGAAACTCTCATTTAAACCATTTTCTATCACTGCATGCGATTTTATCACAGTGAAAAAAATAGTAAGCTTACTATTACATGAATATTCCTACTTAATATGCTGACAGTGATTTACTGTAGAAAAATACTTGTTATTTAAATGGCTATCAATAAAATATGCACTCAATAAAATTAAGAGGTGTAATTTTAAATAACTATATTATTGCTTATTTTTATACACTGAAAATATAAAAAAAAAAACTATCATTTATTTGGTTAGGAGATTTTTGTAACAAAATAAGAATTATGACATTTGATTCAACGGATAAAGAGTTCATGAAAACAACTAAATTCTAATTTTATCTGCGCTTTTTTAAAATAATTATTGGAGCACAATTTTTTCCAATTTTGTAGGGAATTTTTTTTGGGCTAGGTTTATGTCAAATTTTAAATTTTTGTCAGAAACGTTCGACTAAAAAATTAATATATTTAAATCACCGTAAATATAAAAAATATAATAATTTCATACCAATAATACTAAACAATGTAAAAGATGTATCCTACTATACTGTAAAGATCTTATACATATTTTAATAGTATAAGGCCCTTTTAAGGCACCGCCGATTACACTTTTTATTAATAATTTAAACATTATTTTACAAGCGGAGCATGGTCAAGATAGAGTTTCATTGTAAAATCTACATTTTAACAATAAATTCAAGCTGTTCCCAAGTATCTTGTAGCAGACCGCCATGCCCATAACTTGCTATAAGTTAATTTATCTTGGGTTGTATAAAATCGCATGGCTGCCATGTGGCATGCTGCCCAGTTGTGCATTATTGCTTAATTGTCCAAGCACTCACCAATCTTTGTCTTAGTTTATTCAAATTTACTGCAACTAACTTTCAAAATCATTAAATTATGTTTATATAAGGTAATCATATTGGTAACGTGGTGTGAAAAATATAAAATAAAGTTACATCGTTCAGAAATCGTTTCTTATGTCGGTAATAGTGCTCATTAATAGTCAAGAATAAAAAATACATCAACTATCCATTGACACGATCGAAAGATAAGTTCAACCCCATTTACGTGTTGGCTGTAGTAATTTTAAATATATAGGAATCTAGCATTTAAGAGGAACCACATAAGGTGCACATTCCATTGCTTAATTAAATGAATTGTATATTACACATAATAACAATTATAGAAGCTAACGTTTCATTTCAGTTCATAAATGGTAAGGTTGTAACGTCACTTGTAGAAAGCAGTTTAAAAGATAATATTGTTTGTCTGTTGGTGTGACGTTTATTGTATACAAAGCACGCGAGTTACATTATCGATATACAAAACGAACAGTAACTATATTATATTCTTTTGTCCAAAATAATACAATTAATTCCCAATTTTTGGGCACTTATATAAATAAATAGATTTATTACTTGAAGTTCCTATTAAGACATAGAACATATTTTTAAACTTATACATATATATTATGAACAACACTTTAAATAAAATACAAAAAAATCTTAGCAAAATTTTCATTATAAATATTTTAAAGCTTAATGCTATTTATTATATTTACTAGTTTTTGCCCGCGACTTCGTCCGCGTTAGTTTGGTCAAGAGTAATATATGTAGGTATATCTGACCAGTCGAACTCTATTCCGTCTTACAGGCCATAAATAATCAGGTTTTTCCTGTTTCAATCAAACAGAATTGACATATTAGTTAGTTGTCAAATCTAATGTCAAAAAAAACGTTTGTATGGGAAATAGAAAAGGGCTGTTTTTAGAGTCTTCCCGGCAATTATTCCAATGTTTCTCACCTTTTAAACCTTCCCTGGACTTTCAGGAGTATTTCAAGACTAAAATTAGACAAATCGGTTTAGCCGTTCTCGAGTTTTAGCGAGACTAAGGAACAGCAATCCATTTTTATATATATAGATAGAAGATTAGCCTATGACATAAACGTATTTAAAATCTAATTTTCCTAACTTTATATTAATACTAGTCACAATACTATTACGAGCAAAATAATATGAAAAAAAAATTAAAACATTAATTAACATTATTGAATTCTCAAATGGATTTTGCAAGTTTACAACTATATACTATATTATAGATCTCATCTTTAGTTATATAAAATATTAATAGAAAATTCAGCTTCATAAAATAATTTGCACTATCCGAATATAGGCTTGATACGATTGGAATAGAATTTGCATGCACCAGTCTCTTGTTAGGTAACATCGCCTAACCGTGGTCTAGGGAGAAATAGGTTGATTAAATTATGGCTTCGTACTGAATTGGTGTCGGGTCAGCGGTATTAACAGTCGATTATGAAATAACAATTTAAATCTATAATCTATGAATAATTTCATTATTTTATATAACAAAACCAAAATCTTTAAACTTACTTTAACCCGGTGAACATCTAGAAGACGCCAACGAAAATTAAAATAAAAACATATATTTCATACAGATTTTTTGAGATATTCTCTGTTTGTTCTTTTACAATTGATATAATGAATAATTGATATTATTAAGAATTGTGAAAAGAGTGAAAATTACCTCGTATTGAAAAGGTTACTTCGCCGGACTTCAAGGTCTAATCGGAAGAAAAGTCGTCTTGGAAATAAATATTGCAAATTAATTATAGCTCACAATCCCGATCCGACTCCAGGTGGCAATAAATATTAATGTGTTTTATATATATATATATATATATATATATATATATATTTGTACTGTAGCGTGCGAGTTTGCACGGGGTCCGTAATGTGCGTCGGGTGTGAAGAATACATTTTTTTGCTTCTTTATTTATAATTGTTTAAAGGCTTCAGACAAATTTTTGCTAATTATAGACAAAAATTTAAATAAATCTATAATAAGGCCATCTTTTTAAACATGTACTTAATCAGTTACGACATTACAGACGTTAAGGCAATTTTATGCAATTACTGTTACAATAAATAAAACAAGCTGTAAAAAAACAATAGCACAACTCGCTTTCTTAATAGATCTTGTTTCTTGTTTGTTTCTGAATAATTAATTACTCATATAAATATATTAAAAATTTAAATGGTATTGATTATAACTATAAATATTAATGTTATTAATGTAGTTTTGTTTAATAAGAATTTATATATATGAAACTATTAATATTTAATTATAATGAATCCAGGCAGTATATCTTAAAAAATGCAAAATTGGCATTCGATTATTATTAAGAACATAAATACTCTTCTCATTATAATTACAAAAATCGTTTGATTTCTATGATTAAGATCGACTACAAGCGAGAATTTGCAATCTCCGTTCTACTTTAAAACTTACGACAATAATACACGCACGATGCTTATAAAACACTTATCCGACTGTTTTTGCCGTCGGTGAGCATCCAGCCTTAAAGATTGCGTGCTTATGACGCCTTAAAAAGTGACATGAACTAGACGTCAAATTAAAAAATCAAAACAAGTAAATGAACATGCACTTTTTATTATGCCAACACAGAGTTAATGTTAACAAGTAATTGCTGGTAAAGCTTAAGGCACTGACTGTTTTTCATAGTCATTAAAGGAATAGGTACATATATGAATGTCCAGTTGTTAGGCCACATTTTGACAATATTTAATTATTTTACTTTTTAATAGCTAGTTTGTCCTACTACTTCAATGTGGTTAAATTCTACATATTTCATGAGAACGATGAAAATTAGGTACCATATACCTTATTTATGTGTGTTATTGTCTTGGAATTTGTTTAAGGCTATAAAGTAACTTAAAAAAATGGGTTATTAATAATACACCATTTCAGCAAATTATGAATAAAATCGTCAACAAAAAGGAAATATCATAGAAGACTATTCAATGTTTTTATACCAACATTATAAAAATTGCTCGTTAAAACGGTTAAGTGACTTGTAGTACTCTGTTCAATTAAAAGTGTTGAAGAACAAAAACATCAATTAAATATCTTAGCACAGAAGACGTCTCCTCGATCAATTACGTACTTCCCTTAAACTATAAAACGTACGTGTGATTACTGTAAAATTAACACTTAGAGACGATTATCTGATAGGAAAATGTTAGCAATTCTATGCTGGAAGGGTTTTTATTCTTAACGAGGTTCTTAATTGAAATACATGGCATTAAAATTAATGGTATGTGACCGATTCCTATTGTTCTACATAGGCGGTCTCTACACTGTAAAATTACTTGTGCTAAGCCGGGAACACACG